TTGAAAGTCCGGTCGTCGATCGAGATGATCGTCTGCTAAAAGACTGCATTGCACCTGTGAGAAAAGCACTTCAGGCAACCGGTTGAGATCCTAAATTTTTTTGGGGGGACTTGCGCTATGTGAAAGTGCTTCATAGCTGGTTGTAACCATCCCATGAAGAAAGGTTCTTGCAGTTTCTTCAGATTCCCGCAATACCCCAAAGCGTGAGAGAACTGGATAAAAACCATAAGGTGAGTACATGTAGCACTGGCGGACAGTTGCCTCGATGTAAAAAAAGGGCCAAACCAACCAAGAGCACGTAAAACCCATATTCTGTTCGGTCATATTGTTTGAAAATATGGCGGTATATTTATATCTTATTACTATAATATTGATAAAGTAGTTGCATGCAAGTAGTAGTGAGAGTAAAATCCAGATCAAACTTTCAGTAGTCTTAAAGGCCCGTTCACACTCTTGCGACCGAGAGAGACCAGACCGGTTTTTAAGCCTCTTGCGATCTCTTAGGACCAGCTCCGCTGCAACGCATCCCGTCCTAAGAGATCACAAGAGGCTTAAAAACCGGCTTGGTCTCTCGGTCTTCCTCGGTTGCAAGACTGAACGGTGCTTAAGGCCTGTTCACTCTTGCAACCGAGTACAACTGAGAAAGACGAGACTTGTTAAAACCTCTTAAAATTTCTTGGGATGAGAGAACACACTGGCGCCATCTATGCGGCGACTTTGGAACTGCATTTAACAAGAGCGAAGGTTTTGCGGTATTTCCGAGGTCAAATGTGCGTACTACCTATAAGAAAGGCTCGTTTATAACGTTGACAAAAGTTTTTCGAGCCAAGAAAGAAAGGATAATGCACGACAAATAGAAAATATGCCGGACCGCCAAGTTTACACTGCTACGCAATAGATGGCGCCAGTGTGTCCTTTCGTAAGAGGATTCAAGAAACCCAGTTTTAAGAAGTTGCAAGACTGAACGGGCCTTAAAGGGGTTATGACACAAAAATTAAACGGATAGATTATTCTTGAAATGGAATGCTCATAGACTACTTAGTATATACACCAAGTTACGCATTTTCTAGAGCTCTGATAATTGCAATATTCAATTTACGAATTTTTATAATTTTCATCTGGCGACCAGGCAACACTGCTCAAGTTAGTCGCACCATGGTGTCCATAAACCACGTGACCATGAACACTCTCTCATTCTAGGCGCCCCCATGATCGCCCAAGCTCTTCTTGTCGCGGTACGAACAAAACCGCTCAAACAGCTCGGTAAACTGAAAGCTATTCTCGCTCTCGCCCCCCGTCCAGTTGACCTTCCAGCCTGCATGCGCCTGCGAGACATTCCCGGACGACGGTGACCACGGCGAACTCGTCGTCGCTGGAGCTCGTCGCCAGCGGGTCGCAGTCAAAATGAACAGCTTCCAACATCTCTTGATAGCAATCACTCTCATCGCTGCTGCGATCAATGTCGAACACTTCGACAAGGCGATCGATGCCGTATACGTAATCGTCACAGACCGGATGCTGAAAACGTGGAAGGTAAACGAGGAAGCTGAGGCTCGATACGCCAAGAGAGCCAAGTCTGGGAGTGCGTGCAATTAGACAACACGCTGGAGGCTGGCTACGTCATCAGCCTCCAGGCCCGCCCGGATCTGCCCCTCCGAGATGCCCGCATATAAATCGATTTATCCACGAAATTATCGCTCCTTTTTCAAAACAAATTTAGCAGGATTATAGGAACATACAATGGTTCCTAGCAGTATAGTTATGAAATATTTTATTTTTGGCGTGTCATAACCCCTTTAAAAATGTTATGGTAAAACGGCGTTGAGATGTATGCCTGTGTCCATGCGCTATCCGGTTATTTTGTTTATGCTTATATATCTACCTTTAATGACTTTTTTTTTTTTCATTGTGCTCTTCATGTGTTCTCCTGTTTGGACTAGCTTTTTTTAATTTAGTACAAGTCTCAATAATAATAACAATAATAAACGACTTCCCTCGAAGGTGTAAGATTGCTGGCCTGCACTACGCCGGTAATGCACCTCGGGTCGTTGTCGTAACTGATTTGCATGACGTGGGTAGATTTTACAGCATTTTTGCACCTCCGAACAAAACTATATTCTTCACAATGAAAAAAAAAAAAAAAAAGGCACATTGCCGAAGTTTTTACGGTCATGATGATGCACTTGTTTTCGTCACTGGTTTACAGAAGCAATTCAATGAAGATGCCCGCTGCAACAGAGGTAGGCCAGCAAATCTATCGTGTCGTCTGCTACCAAAGCAAAGCGGAATGGCTTTCCTCGTCGCAATACGACACAGAAACGACAAGAACATCTTCATAATTAGATATCAAGAAGTTAGATTGCTTACAAAAAATTTACTTGTAAGCAAAAGTTAAGCCTCATGTGGAGTCTGCATGCATTAGTCTATAGCAACGCCCCTAGCAACGGTTTGTTTGAACCCAAACGACATGTTGTGACAGTTTCCCCGCAGACGCTGGAGGCCTTTCGAACGAGAAAAAAAAAAAACTCGTTTTTACCAGCTTGCAGCACGCTGAGGTGTCGTCTAACGTGCAGCTGTTGCACTGAAGCTTCCTGATCGCCTTGGAAATGGATTAAAAGTATGCTGTGTCTAAAGGTACGTCGGACGTATCTGGAACGAGGAGTCTAAAGGTACGTCGGACGTACCCGCAAGTTTGAGTCTAAAGATATGTCGGACTTATTGTAAGCGCCCCAATTCTGTACAAGAAATTAGAGATCAGAGACATGCGATATCTGCTCTCCATCAAGGCCAAGCGTCTGAAACGTCGCTTGTTTCCTTTCCCCTTTTCTTTGCTCGTCTTATCCACGCTTTTAGTTTTGTGCCCACCTTTAGGTGCCGGCAGCACACCACCTTCTGGTCCCCAGCACTCGGTTTCGTCATCAGTTGGTAGATGGCGGCACACAACGGCACTTGCGCTACCGCGCAGGCGCTGTAGAATATAGGCACAGGTAAGGCGTTGTGTGCTCTGTTTTTGTTTCGTCGCCGTTCGTTCGACTCCGTCGTCCGACTCGCAAGCGCACCTCGTTTTTGTTTTTGTTTACGTGGTTTAGCCCATATGTTCAGGCGTTCATAACTTTGCTGTCCACCATGAGTGCGAAGAGGACTTCGTACACAGTGAAGTTAGAGCGAACGGTGATCAGGTATGCGAAAGACAACGGTAACCACGGCACTGCAGAGCATCTGCGATACCGTGCGATACGGTGGAAAAGACAGCGGGTGTAGGTATTCAAGGGCGTCGCGATCCGTAAAAAGTGTTCGGGACGGCGCAATAATGCAAAAGTCGACATTTGGAAATTGAGAAGAAAATTCGTGAGTTTGTTTGCAGCTAACTGGACAGGGCCACCGAGGACTCGTCGAGTCGTACTGAGAGCAACTTTTTGACCGTGGTGCGCGGTGAGAATTGACGGCGAGCAGGTTAATTCTCGTCGGGTTATTTTTATTTGTTCTGCGACTTTTTTCTTATGAATTTCCTATAATAAATTGATATTTCTTGCACAAATGTTGTAATTACGGAGCATTTCACGAAAGTAAGCACCCCCCCCCCCCCTCGTTGCACATCGCGGGTGTAAAACGAAAGGAGTGCATAGAATGAACTAATTACAGTAGCAATGAGAAATAAAGCTGGAATGAAAATCGACAGTGGGGTCTCGGTGAGGCATGCTATGACCCGCTGTGATACGACCTTTTCCTACCGCGTCTACGTCCGACGCATCTCCCGGTTCCGCGCATGTCCGTCATGCATCTTAAAGGCCCGTTCACACTCTTGCGACCTCTTAGAACCAAGTTCCTTGAAACCTCTTACGACGAGAAACCAAACTGGCGCCATCTATTGGGTAACAGTGTAAGCTTGGCGGTCCGGCATATTTTCTATTTCGCTCGCACATTATCCTTTCTTTCTTGGCTGGAAAAACTTTTGTCAACGCTATAAACAAGCCTTTCTCTTGGGTATTACACACATTTGACCTCGGAAATCCCGGAAAACCTTCGCTATTGTAAAACGCAGTTCCAGGGACACCGCATAGATGGCGCCAGCGTGCCAGTGTGTTCTCTTGTCCTCAGAAATTTTAAGAGATCTCGTCTCTCTCGGCCGTACTCGGTTGCAAGACTGGGAACGAGCCTTAAGGCTCCAGGGTTCGGATACGTCCGATGCACCTTTAGGCTCCTTGTTCCGGATACGCCCGACATACTTTTAGAGTCCTCGTTCCGGATACGTCCAACGTACCTTTAGACTCCTCGTTCCGGGTACGTCCGACACGTAGCTTTAGACACAGCGTTAAAAGTATTGCTACATCTCACGCGTCCATCAGGTTGAAAACACGGTAGGTACCGGGAACCTGGGGTGCTATGTTGCGCTTTTTGCACTCCCAGGAGACTTGGAAGAGGGAAGTGACGTCAACGACTAGAGCAAATGCAGATTGGATGTTGACAGAAGAAAACAAAATCAACATACAATCTGCATTTGCTGCGTTGTTGACGTCACTTCCCTCTTCCTAGTCTCCTGGGAGTGCAAAAAGCGCAACATAGCCCCCCTGAGCACCAGTATTAACGTGTCGGAACGCTTAAACGCCTGTCACCCGTCGTACCTAAGTAACTGAAAAAGAACAGTGATCATATTCAACTCGTCTACGTCCTAATAGGCGCCCAATTCGGTTAGAAAGTCTCAGCGCACCTCCCGCACTTGGTAGCTACGACCGCATAGTAGCTCAATATCGTAACGTGATAAGCGAAGCGCTTTCACGTAGCCGAATTGAGGTAAGAGATCTTCACTATCTTCAGTTTTAATTTAACGTTTCGAATAACCATGTTCCTCGCACAAGCTCCGAGGCCTGTACGCGTGGAATGCCCAATTCGGCTTCTTGAAACTAGTAGCTCCATACGACGGTGTAGATGTTCTTTTACAACGCCTACACACATGTAGATGTTACATGCTTACTGCATTCGCGGGACACGGGTCTACTTACCGATCTCTGAGGGCTGTAGGTGCGACGACGAAGATAACAGCGGGGAAAGGCGTCATCAAAACTTAGAACGCAAGGAAAAAAATGCATGGTGAACCGTTACAACATGGCGCCGGGACGTTTGTAAACATACTCTCGTTACCGTGCGCTGGTTCCCCGGTTTCGAAACAAAAATGCGTTTTGCATAGTTAAAATTATTTTCGCAACGTAGATAGCTTGATCATTTGAGTATATATATATTGTCATTTTTTCTTTAAGTTAAATTGAGAGCTTAATGACTTCGCAATGAAGCACACTCTCATACTCTCGCAGATCAGCATAGGTTTGCTTCACCGAAAGACACCGCTGTATTGCAGGGAAAGGTGCTCGCTGGCATTTGCACAGGTGAAAATGTCCTGTCCAAACACCCCTTCCGAAAATACAGTAAATATGCACTGTTAAGGTACTGGTTGTGGGGGTGGCTTGTCTGTGGCCAGAAAGGCACACAGGTTCAGTTGAAAATGATTATTATGGGATAAAAATAATGGAAAGCAGCCTCAGACACAAGGATGAAGTAAAGGCACTAACACGACAAAACAACAGATGACCTTCAAGTGTAGTTTATTTTATGAAAAGGAAGCATTTTAGTCTTATTACATTAACACAAACACGCATGCCAACCAGGCAGCTGGCAATCACAGGGATAGAGCCTCACAATGTGGCAGTGCTAAACTCCAATTTATGAATAAAGATTCTTTTTTTTTTTTTTTCACTTCGTTTTGTAGCAGAGGCTGTTTTCCATTATGATTAGTTTCGCTCTTACCAACTAGCCCAATCTACCACCCTACTTCAGCTCATTATGGGGGACTAGTTACACTTGAAGGATCTGCAATGGCAAGATGAATGCTAGCGAGTTCATTTCATTGCCAGAAAATTGATGGTGTTGTCTCAAATGGTAACAATGCACGCTCATGAGTGAACTGTGTGAGACCATCAAAGTGCAGGCAGTGACTCTACTTGATATCTGGGGACTGAAAACAACTGCCTCAGGCTACTCTTAGAGGGAACCATAGCGGTGATCAAGGAACCGGTACAGCAACACGAGCCCAGATTGCCTATGATATGTAGGTCTTCCATTCCCTTTGTAACAATATACAGGACACCAGATTTTGGGTCAGTACTTGTATTTCAGCATCGAAATACACGTAAAAATATATTCCTGGTCTCGCAATACATTCAAGGGAATAATGTATCCCATTACATTTTCAACTGGGCTTGCCATGTCATCGTCCCAACTACCGAAATAGTTATCTTCTCTAAATGCTTCATCAGCTTGCACAAGCAGCTGACACCAGTTGAGAACAAGCTAAAACGTTGTGAGGAGCTACTTCGTAAAATGGCAGGACGGCGGCTTGTGATACTACAAAGCCAGTTTCCTTTAGACAATATAACATAAGATTATCATATCAACCAAGTATGCCTCCACTGTGTAGCCCTCGAGCTCGGTCGGGAATGCCAAGCTTCTTCGCTTTGCACTTGCACGCTCGCACAAAGCTCCACCGCTTCACCCGACATGCTTGCATGAAGCTTCATACTTTAACACTACAGCACTATGGCAAAGCATCTTAATTTTTGCGGGGGGGGGGGGGGGGGGGGGGCTCAACATTTTGCAGACCTATTTTCAGACTTCGAAAATATTCAAAATTACCGAATAATCCTATTCGATTCAAAGTATGAATCGAATACGGCATTATTCTATTCAATATTTAAAAGTTATGAATATTTGCACAACCATAGTCTTCAGCATTATTTACAATTTACAAGGAAGCTGGTATCATGTCTACATTTCACGGGATCTTCCGGGGTCTTTTGTTCAAATCGCGATTATATAAACTTTTCGACTTTGACCCAATGGAGACTACCCATCTGCACACTCCGCAAGGACAATTCACTGAGGCGGTCATTGGCCATCATTGATCGAAGTCTGTGTTATGTCAATTTGGGCCTACTGAGAGAGTGTTCACCCCTGAAGTTTGCAACCATAAAAAAATAAAAATCTAAAATGGGTACATGAACACCTAGAAATGAGCCTCGAAGCTTTTCTCAGACTACAGTTTTGGAATGTTTCTTACAGAAGCCTTCCTTTTTGGCAAATAAAAGAAACTGTTCTAGTTCATCGGGGAAATCGTCCGACAGACCAGATTTATCCATTGCCTGGAATCACCACTGTTTCAACGAAAGTGTGCCGTGGTCGGCAATAAAAAGTAAACTGTAGGCAGACTTTGCTGTAAGCAGTGAAACAAGTTTTAAGTGAATGCAAAAGGTTGTCAATCATGCCAATATTGGTATCACAGTGGAAGTTCAGTGAGGCATCTTGAGGGTGAAGGTTGCCATTTGTGCCGATCGGTTTGCTTTCTTTTGATTGTTGCTTTGTATGTAGTTCCCAATGTTTCCTTTGCTGCCTGTTTCATTTCATAGAATCTTTCTCTTAGACCGGATACATAATCACTCAATAATTTCGTCAGGTTTACAGCTTTATTCAATGTGAGCGTCTGATTATGTAGCTTTCTTCTGATGGCATTGAAGCATCGCAACACCCTGTTCATGAACTAAGCTACAACTCTTGCAGTCATACCCATAGTCTTCAACCATAACCCATGTCTCTGCTAGTTCTTCCTAACCTTCAGACCCTCAAGGCGACCCTAATTTCCTGAGCGAACAGAGCTTCATAGCATCCGCTCGGGCTGACCACCACGTGTCTTGGAGTCGCATGGGCATGAATACCGTATCAATCCGTTTCAAATCAAGCCTGCAGAATATTCCGGCGAAGGGTAGACGCAGAAAAAAAATTTATATACGCTGTACGCAACGGTTAACACAGACCACTCTGCGTGTTCTGTGTCGAGCGCTCTCGTGCCAACGCCAGCTGCTTTTGATTCAGCAATGGCCAGCGGTTGTGATCAACCTGGCCGTGTTCCGAAATTTACCCAATCTCACTTTAGAGTAACATTTTCATACCTTGGTGTTTGAAAACCTTTTTGCGTCCAGCGTTGCTCAGCTTGAAATGTCACGTGATATGACCCGCAGGAGTAGCTGGGATCCAGTCGAGTAAGGTTTGGAACACGCCCCCTGTGAGGGGGGGATCCCCTCGCAGAGGGCCTTATTCATTTGAGCAGTTAAATATGGGTAATCTGGGCTTGCCCCTGAAGCGACAAAAGGAATATGGTGAAATGCTGGCCTGTTACATGCAGGTGCCAATTGTTCCGTTTGATTTTAATGCATTATCCGGCACCTTGACTCAATCTTTACAAACAAGTGTTCTCAAACTTTCTGGTGACAAGGAATCCTAGCAATCTTCAAAAGGTGCTGCACCAAGCACGTCATGCTTCGCACCATCGTGCTCACAAAAGTTTGTGCTTTGCTCCGCCACGCATGCATCACGCTTCACCGCTATACACCGGTGCGTTGCGGCGGTGTATAGCGGTGAAGAAATACTTTGAAAATATTTAAATTTGCCGAATACTCCTCACTAATTCAAAGTGCGAGTAGAATATGGTGTCATTCGCTTCAATATTCTGAATTTTAGAATATTTGTACAACCCTAAAATATGTCGTAAAGTAACGCTCAGGCACCCTCTACAAATCCGGAGATCATCGCAAAGAAGTGGGAGACGGGCACTTGATATGCTATCAATGTTATCTATATTTCCACTGTCCATATTTTTTTAGATGTTACAACATTTAGGGGTGGGCGCTTAGTGTGGAATCGGCGGATGCTCGGTATTTCATGGTATACATAGCATTTGAGTACAAATATACAGTTCCTCACTTTTCCATAAAAAAAATGAAATATATTTGGGTGCTTGCGGAATCCAAAAGACCAGCCTATGGAACCCGGTTTGGGAACCCCGGGTATGTAATCTGCACCAGTCTGTAAAGAGCTTCTGAAAGCAATTTTTAAGAAAATAAAATTGAACCATCTAGAATGGCCTAAGCTGAAAAAGGCTTCCAAATATTCTGTTTGTAGCATTCATAATTAGGCACTGAACTTTTTGCTTGATGCTTTGATTGACTTTGTTTCTTCTTATGGGAAAAAGTGCACATCAACAATGACACTCAGCGACATGGTTCGCAAGCTACCCAACCAATGGTGTGCGAGCCCCCCTATCAAGGACGGCGCCAAGGGAAGGCGAGGGGTGGCAAGCGCCTCCCCTAAAATTTCTTCTGCCACCCCAAGATGAAGCAGCTTTGTACACAAATAACTGCCTATGACGTCGGCTTGAAAACCCGATGTAATGAGTGTCCAGACTTTAGAGCTGTTCGTGCCTTTTATTATTTATATATTTTTTTTTTCTATTAACTTCCAGCCACTGCAAGTCGTACCGTGGGCGAGTAAGCTATCTAGCGCCTTAGAAAAAGCAGCTCCCCTTTGCGACGCCTGCTGGCTTTTCTCTCCGCATTCCGCTGTGTGGCGCTTATCTTCAGCGGAGACCGGAGACGTGAACGAAGGGGAGCTTAGTTAAAGTCGAGGTCATGAGGAATTCCAGACTGTCTAAGAAAAGGAAGCAAAACCTGGTTGTGAGTTATGAGCACAGGGGCAGAGGTCAATGCTGTAATAACCCCCCCCTCCCCGCCACTTCCTTCTCGTGTCTCCTCATTTCCCTTTTCAATGAGCACACCGCATAAGCTATAAGCTATCTTCGATAAGCCCGTGGGCGACGGCACCTCAGAGCAACCCTCCCCCCCAATTTGGTTGGCCTCCCCACTGCCCCCACCCATTATGAAGATGCTGGCGCCATCCCTGCCCCCTATAGTTAAAATGGTATTAAAACAGCACAAAAAAAAAAGACTAAGAGAACACAGACACAGCACTCACTTACAACTGAAAATTTTTCTTCTGCATGGTACAGTAAGTAAACATAAAAAGAAGCAGATAGATATTATTTCAAAATGACCAACCAACTAGCCCAACTACACAATTCGTTGCAGCCCTTCTATGGCCCTGAATTCGTTCCTTACCATGAGAAAAGTGATGATGTTTCAAGCATCTCTGCAGATCCCTTTATTTCTAAAGCTATTTGGCATATACCACAAAATCCCGAGGTATGTACTTCCCAGACAGCAACATTCACTTGTATCCCGCCACAGCTAACTAGCCGCATTTGTGCCAAGGCCATCACTGATCCCAACACTACTATTACTAGAAGTGGGCTATCTTTCAGAGTTTAAAAAAATAATGCAAATCAAGCCAAAAATAGGAGTGGGCTACCTTTTGAGATTTTACAGTAGAGCATCATGACACATCAAAATGCAGGCACTCAGGTGCTCTTTAGAAATAAACAAACTGAATTAACGCATCAGAAAGGTTCTATTGGCTGGGATTGCACATAGGAGAAAAGGGACACTAACTGCCAAATTCACAAACCTTTATTCCAATGGAGGCAACCCCCCCCCCCCCCCACTTCTTCAAGGAAGGCACAAGGGACGGCACTGGCCAATCGCGAGGACGGCTAAGCAGCCTAGGCCGCCTATCCGTCGTCGCGACTGGCCAGCACCGGCCCTCGCACCTTCCTTGAGGAAGTGGAGGGGTGCCTCAATTGGAATGAGGTTTGTGAATTCGGCGGTAACTTAGCTAGTGCTAGGGTCCGGCAAATTGGAGACATACACCTCCCCACTGGCCACAGGCTCCACCTGTGGACTTTGAAACGTCAGAATGGGGTACAGCACCCACCAAGGATAGAATTACCATAAAGTTTTGCGAGTGCCTTGCCGAGCGCAAATGCAAGGCGCTGGATGCCGCAGACAAGGCACACGTTGTACTGGTCGGTAGCCAGCTTGTCGAGGTTGACAATGTTGCCTCGGTTGAGGAACAGGTGCTGAAACGTCAGCGAATGAATCAATTAATAGCATAAAACAAAGCTGGTTTGTGACCACTCCTTGGAACCACACAGGACACATGTGTCTAACTTGGAAGCAGTCAATAAACATTATAGGTTTAGGTAGGGGTCAGTATTTTAGACCTAATTGTGCAGCTACTTTTTTGTGTGTGGATGTGTGCGTGCAGGGGGTGGGGGTTGTTAACTCATTGCAAATGTTTTATGGGGCTGGTTGCTCATTATTGGGGTCCACCTTCGTTTAGTCAGGGGAGGATCTAACTGTAAACACAGACATTAAAGGGGCCCTGCAATGACTTTTTTACTAATTTTTCATTTGCCCCGAACCTGAGCGCACTGAACGTAGTAACTTAGTGAAACTTTTCTTTTCTCGAAATTCCCTTTATTTTAAAAGTTATAGGCAAATTAAAATTACAGAAACAAGCAAAAAATAACCTCCCTCATGACATCCTTGGTTGCTTGAGAGTGGCCGTGAACTAGGGGAGAAGTAGTGAGCTCATCGAGCGCTCACGGCTGCCGCACTCCGAGTCGACGGCGCGAGAGGGCGCCATTGAAGCGTGTTCTGGATAGGCTGTATGCAGCAGGCAGCCAGAGCGGCTCTCATTGCATTTGCTGCGCGATTAAATACTAATTCGGCATGACACTTCATTGGCCACCAACGACAGCAAACACGGGGTAAAGGTCAGTTCAGAACTGGAGCCACTTCGCGCTGCCGTACCGCCAAAGGGCTAAATCGGCAGCCAAGCCCGCGCCGAGAGCCTTGGGAACGCTCGGAACCGGTCGGATCCTCGAGCCGGTATAAGACTGCAGCGCCGCCGCGTACATCCGGGACCTTTCAGTGTCGGCGCCTGATCCCACTATTCCTTTCTAGTATGCGCTGCTTTTTCCACCGCTTGGTGGCGGGTATGTCGACCGGTCATTTCTTGTTTTCGTACTTTGTGAACTGAATTCGTTTCTTTTTTTATGTAAAATGATGAACAAAAACTACTTTTATAAATAATTGAAACGGTTCGCGCCACTTATATTTTGTATTTCGACTAAAAAGAAGCTTTTAGCGGCTCTGACCAGTAGTAAGCCGAGGACCAAAGACGTCACATTTTGCGCGCTTTCGGTACCGCGGGTCGCCCTCGTCGGTGGAGGAGGTTTCCGCGTCGTCCGGTTAAAATATGACGCACTGATATTTAGTTACTCTCTCCGTGCCCGCTGGCTTGCCCGAACCCCAAGAGACGTGAAAACCGCAAAAAGGGTGGACGCTTAAATATGATTGCAGGGCCCCTTTAAGGTGCAGTACTTGGGCTCGCCTTCTGAGTTAAATTTCTGTTTTCCTTCGGGACCGGTTCTCGTGTGCCGAGTTCACTGTGATTTTAAGAAGTGATTTGGACAGTTTCTTATCAAAAATGTTTCAGAACCTCCCAATGCATAGAGGCAGTTTCAAACTCTGCCAGAGTTTAAAACTGCCTTCTATACATGTTACTTTCACAAATGGTATCTTGTTATATTCCTGACATATTTACCCATTTTTTGGATTTTCAAACTTTCAAGGAACTTACTGTCTACAACTGTATCCATCGCTGAGTGCTTATAAAAGAACAGGTGTAATAGAATACATTTCACTGAAAAAGAAAAAAGATAAATTTTCTGGTGTATATTAACTGATAAAAACCAAATATTGGATTTCGAAATAAAAACCGATAAATGTAGGCCAAATTCGAAAAAAAAATAAAAAACGAAAACGCTGATCTTGTTTAGTGTTTTCGAAGTTAATTCTTTTTGCTCAAATTTGGGGGTATTTCTTTTTCGGTGTTTAATTTTTTCCCAGAGATTCTGTGTTTTTTGTGTAAATTGGTTGAAGTCATAACCAATTTACACAAAAAAAAAAAAAACGAATCTGCACAAAAAATTACCCTTCCCCCCCCCCCCCCCCCCCCCCCAAAAAAAAAAAACAATTTGAGGAAAAAAAAATACTCAGAAAACACAGAACCCAAGTTATCAGTAGGTTGTGACTTTCCAGTTTTAACCTAAAAATACTGAGAAACATCCGCCGATGACGAAAATGCAAAATTTGTTATAACAGAAAAACAGTTTTTGGGGACGATTTGGCGTTAGGCGATAACTATTTTGGTTGAAACCCCGAATTCTAGGCATTTGCTGAGCCTGTTTTGCTACCAAGAATTAAGCAAACTGGGGTCTCCAATCAGTGGGATCGCTGACCCTGGAGGACAAGGGCCTGAGAGGTCAGTCAGACGGCTACTACCAACAGTCACAACGCCCTTGTTGATTCATGTCAGAGGACGGCAGATAAGAAAGCAACGTGTCCCAAACCAATTTTTTTTTCACCGATCATCTCTGTTTTTAGCGTCTACATCAGACAACAAGTCGAAAGCAGGGTTGTGCAGTATCGCAATACAAATGTATTGCAATAGTATTTCAGAAATACATTTAGTGTCTGCAGTTCTCTATTGCAACACTTTTTTTTCACCAGTATTTGTATTTCTGTATCGAAATGCATTTGGGATGTTTCTCGGTACCGCAATACAATCAAGATTGGATGTATTTCGTTACATTTCTTGAGAAATAACCCTCACCTCTGGATAAAAAAGATGACAATTTTTGTTTTGCTAGAGAAGGCCAGAGGGCATTATGAGGGGTATGTTGTGCCTTTGCTATCATGCGAACCTAGGTTTGACCGGAACTATTTGTGTCGGACCTTAGCAACCCCTTTCTTTATTCTGCAAAACTGAAGAATGTTTTCCACCATGCTTCTGCCCCCCCCCCCCCCCCCCCCCAAAAAAAAAAGTCTGGACGTCTTTTTTTTTTTTTTTAAAGGGACGCGGGGCATTGTTACTATGCTGACCAAGGTTCATTCCAATTCCCAGAAATATTTGTCAATGCGACCTCTTCTCTATTCTGCGAAGATTAGAAATGTGCTGTGAGTGGCACATTTCTTAATGAAAAAATGTGGTTCCCAGCTGTGAAAGCAATGTTTCTTTGATTTAATATGAACCTGTATTCCTCAACAACTGTTGAGCAGCTATTTCTTTTTCTTTTGCCAACATGACGTTGCATTTGAATGGGCAATGGCTCACAGGTCGGCTATTTGAGAAGCTCCTACTCCTCAAGTGTAACTGAGTTTAGCAGTTGCATGTTTTTCTTTTGTATCGCTTCAGTGTAAAATAACAGACAAAGCAAGAATGATTTTTATTGCACCTCCCAACTAATTTGTTGCCTATGATATGACAGTTGGCACCTCAAGCAAATTGGAAAAATGTATTTCAGTATCTGTATTTCTGCCATCCCTAAGAGGTATTCCTGCATTTGTATTTCCAAATACGTTCTGCTCCTTGTTAAAATGCATTTCCGATGCATATCACAATACATTTTTACAGATATATTTAAGTATCACTATTTTAGCTATTTTTATGTATCCCAGCATTTGTATTTCCAAGTACATTAAGTATTTTGACCCAACCACCAAGACTATAATTTTTTGCTTCATTTTATAGCAAACCCCACTACTGTGGCAACTTACATTTTGGTATCTGTTTTGTTTCATCGACAGACATCTCATCGACAACTTTTAATCAAACGACATATTGACATACATTTCGTCGACACCAGGGGCGGATGCAGGAATTTCCTGAGGGGGGGTCAGGCGTCGGTCAGCGTACCATATGTTTAGGGACCCCCTCCCCCTCTCCTTCGTTTTACGCCCTAAAATTTACACAAGCAGAAATCAAGAGGGGGGTCAGGACATCCGGACCCCCCTCTAAATCCGCCCCTGGTCGACACTGACATGCCATCGACAATCGTTACGCTAACTGTACGATGTTGTGATGTTTCGTTGTGTGTGTCACTGTAACACAGTGACACACACAACCAGGTAAGTTAATGCTGACGCATTAACTTACCTGGCCCGCCCGTCTACGTCATTTGCAGCAACCGTCTGTGGCGGCTCACTACAGAAATATTAACACACCAGGCCTGTCGTAGCCGTTGCTCGGGTATAACAAGAACAGTTTATTGCGGGTTAAAGGCAATACGTGTAGTCAGCGACACACAGCCATGTCCTCGCATAATTGTGCCGTTCTCCCCCGTCCACTGGCCTCCCGGAGCGAGAGCACTCCGCGCGTAGGCGCGTCGCGGCACAGCAGTCGGTGGTCGCTCGCAATGCCACTCACGACACCCCCCTTTCTTAGGAGTAGGGAGCCGCGCTACAAGTCCAACCTGTACGATGGTCTGCTTGGTCGTCCGCTCCTAGTGACCGCCGTTGGCTGCATGTGACTCCCGCTGCGTCGTGTTAGTCCTGTTGATGTGCTTACAATGTAGGACCTTGGTTGGGCTGCTGGCCGTGTCACTGCACCGCAAGATGCCGGACCATTCCGTTGCTTTTTCCACCTTCTTGATGACTCCCATTTCTTTCATCCTTTCCAATTCATTCTCCACTTGTGAAAGCAGTGGAAGAGGAACTCGCCTTGGGTATGTAACGGCATAGGGCTTGGCGTCATCCTCACGACAAGGCCCACCCACTGATCTCCACTAGAGGGGGCTGGATGTATGCGCATTGAGCAAACAAGTATGAAGCCACCGGAGGTGAGCGGCTTGTCCCGGAAGCGAGTGCTTGGCAGGTTTTGTAACCCTTCCGAGTGCTGGTTCGAAAAGCGTCAAGGGCGCTGGATTTTCGCTTGTTCCCTCAAGAGAGCCTGCTTGTTGCGCAGTAAGAGTGCATGTGGACCCGAGAAGTATCATGGGAAGCCATTCAATGTAAACATTTTGAGATTCTAGTAGATCAAGTTGTGAATATGTCTCAAGTTCAAATGCCTCATTCTCGGGATTTAATCCAGAACGGGAGTAGTAAAACCCAATCAAAGAAACAAAAAAGCATGGTCCAAAATATCGACTGAATGCACTAGGAAGCTTCCGGGACAAGAATCGAACTTCCGGTGGCTTCACTTGCGCCAGGCTCGGAGAGCAGCTAAGCGCCATCCAGCCTCTTTTAGTAGAGATCAGTGGGCCCACCCACTCAAGCTGCTTCGCGGCAACATTCTGCGGGGAGTCACTACAGAAAAAAAGCTTATCTGAGCTGTCGATGTAACAAACTGTCGATGAAACGAACTGTCAATGAACTGACTGCCCCCCATATTTCAGTATCAGGATTTCTCCTTCAAACAAAACATATTTAAAGATACTTTGTCACCCATTTTTTAGTCATACATATTTGAGTTGTTTTGCAATGCTCCTTTTATAAATGTATTTTAGTATCAGTACTTTAGCTGTCACTGCTGTGTATTCCAGTATTTGTCATTTCAAATGCTTTTTAGGTTATATCCGCCCAACCTTGTCACTCTCAATGAACAGCATTCCAGAGGTATCATGAATACCTGGCTACCAATAACACTGAAGATGACATCTCGTCACAAGGGGCACGTCACATGTAACTCAAAAGGACAGTGCACCAGGGGTGAAAGTTCCATGTACTTACGTCGGTCGACATTCACTATGGTAACGCCGAGGGCAACACCTTTTTGTACAAGTAGGCGGTTTAGGGACAGCCTCTCATCCTCCCTGGCATGCCCGAAAGGCCCACCTCGTGGCACCAACATGAATACGAGCACATAGCTCGTCAAGCCTTTCAGGGTGGTCACAAGCTCCTGAAAAGTGGAAAGGACATTGACTTATGCAGAGGACAAAGCAAAACTACCGTAAAATCCCGTAAGGATGTCCACCCAAAATGAAGAGATAAATTGGGAAAAACATGGGGTGGGCTATCTTTGGGAATGCGACAGCAAAAATTTATTTAAAAAAACGCGATAAGCAACTGGGCTATCCGCTACAAACCACATAAAACGGGAACTGATACCGCGGATTGCGGACACAGCATATTTGCGTTTTATGATGCGATAAACACGTAAGACTCTGCTACGACATCCTGTGTCATGGTAAAAGGGGTTGAGGACGCAGCAGAATCACTTTGCCGTGTTTTCACGATTCTAACGCGCAGGCTGATTTAGCTTTCAGATATTGGCCGGTTCTACCGCGCAGGTAAAGTAATGAAGATTGAACACATACCTTATAGACGGGTTTTATGAAACGAACGCCAACAAAAAATAAATGCCGTGCACTAGTCGCCGTTGTCACAGTGCGACGATGTTTCTTCGCTGTCCACAGAGGTGAGTGCGCGTCGTCGGCTTTGGGAGGGTCGTCTTCCGAGCACCGCTTTGTGAGCTCGTCGGGTCGCTGGGATTGCGAGGCCACGCAGTGGCTACTCCGTCCGTTTTGCCATGACTCCCGTTGAAACAGTTCAAACCTGTGGTTCAAACAGTTCAAACACGCCGCTCCGGCAACCTGAGAACCGTTGAAAACAGCAAGGCCAGGGTGGCGCCAGTGGGCAAGTCAATCATGATATAGGATGGTCGAGAAATAAACCAGTTAGCTGAGTTTGAGACGTCCCTGTTTGTGTCTGATCCTTCTATTAAAAAGTTTACAATTTCTTCGACCACAGTCTCAGGCGTTATATGACATGATTATCATCATCATCACCACTACGCGAACGGATTCCCTACGAGCGGTTTTCCCTACGCTGGCGTTGTCCCCAGATCTAGGCACGGGCAGATCTCTGGATAGGCGCTCGCCATCCCACTAGCCCTTTCTAGTATACGCCATTTTTTCCGCCGCTTGGTGGCGGGTTTGTCGACGGATCGTTCTTGTTTCGGTACTTTATAAACTGCATTTGTGTTTTTGTCTGATACATACATAATTAAAATGGTCCGCGACACTTATATTTTGTATTTCGATTATAAAAAAAAAAAAAAAGAGCTTTTAGCGGCTCTGACCAGTAGTAAGCCCAGGACCAAATACGTCACATATTGCGCGCTTTCGGCAACGCGGGTCGCCCTCGTAGGTGGAGGAGGTTTTGGGGGCCTCCGGATAAAATATGACTCACTGATATTTAGTTACTCTCTCCGTGCCCGCTGGCTTGCCCGAACCCCAAGAGACGTGGAAACTGCAAAAAAGGTAGACGCTTAAAGGGGCGGTGCAGTGATTTTAACACTGAACGAATGTGCAGCTTGTATTTTTTATATTGTTTACTTCGGCATAAGTAAGAGAAAAAGTGCCACCATACCCCAAAATACCTCTATTTCGCTGCGTAATCGTAAAATAAAAAACGCTTTTTTTCCCAACCTGCGGCCACATGGTGGCCGCAAATGGAACCTGTGGTGTGACGTCATTCGGAGTGGTTTTTGTAAGTGATAGTTTTAGGAAATTGTAAGCTTGATTTAAGGTTAGGTTTAAAAAATGTTGTTGTTTAGGCATGCAGAAACGCTTCAAAAGCCTAATATTGCCGCTAAAAGGGTTGAATTATTTGTGGCGCCATCTACCGCAAGTCAACAAAACCTGCCGTCGCCGTCATCCGTCGACGCCCGAGGCGCCTACGGTGGTTACACGAGCAACCCGGTTGAAGTTCATTTGGTTTCTGACGGGCCAGGCCCGGTAGGGAAGTAAAGACAAAAGACATTTCTGCCCTGACTGGGCCTCTATTCCCCACAGTTCATAACAAACAGTATGCGAGGGAACGACAGTTTTGTCGTTCCCTCGCTCGACGGAGTCCGTTGGTCGTGGTCTGTAGTATCGTGGTATCGTTATTGTTCCTGGTGTCTCGACTTCGACTCCGACTGCCCGCCGCGTCGCAAGCATCTTGCGCTCGACGTCGCTCAGGCCGTCCGCCCATGCCGCCATGTTGGGGCCCTAAGCTGGACACTTGGCGAAAACGACGGCGAGAAATCTGGCGGCCGCGATTGGCCAACGGCACACTTGACCTTGGCGCCGGCCAATCATAGCCGCCGAATTTCTCGCCGACTTTTCCGCCAAGTGTCCAGATTAGGGCCCTTGGTCGGGAATCGGCGGGAAAGCGGCGAGCCTGGCGAGCCGGCGAGCGCTGGGGAAACGGAAGCTAGAAGAACCCAACCGGAAACCAACGCCACTCCGAATGACGTCACGGGCGAAGGTGGTGCCGCTTCAATGTTGAGTTGAGGGGTGCCAGAGATACCAATTTCTTTAATTTTTTTTAATGAAAACTAGGGCAAGCAGGAAAGAATAGTTTTCGGTCCTTCGTTTTATATGTGGCCGGGATCAATTCCCGCAATTAATTAGCCAAAGTCCGCAAATTGTTGCACCGCCCCTTTAAATATGATTGCAGGGCCCCTTTAAGCCTGTCTCAGCTGAGACGCTGCCTCGCGCAAGCCAGCCTTTGGTACTTCATGTTCCTTCTGCAACGACGAGGAAACAGCTTCCACAATCGGTGCGTCGCTGCCGGAGTAGAATGCATGGGCCACATAAGGAGCCTTCATACACACGCGCCACATCTGCTTTAGGCTGGTGACATCTCTGCCATTTCGGTCCCCAGAATTCACTCGCTTCAGTCTCATTCGGATCGAGCGCTTAGCTCTCACCGGCACATTGCAGTCATATTGAGGCCCATTTAGCACTCGCCTATTAACTCGCTGGCAGCAGCTCCGAGAGGTCACCACCAAGGGGTGCCTTTTTCACCTTGAGCAGTTCCTGGGGAGGAAAATCGCAAGTCTAGGGCCCCAGGTAAGACTACGACAGTTCAGCTACAGGGTAGACATGTTCTTGACGTAAGCGACACGCCATTTTGGGGTTTAAATGCATGAAGGTGTACGGTGCACCTTCGGGCGCCGTGGTACGATGAAGGGAAGCTACAGATAGGAGCAAGGCCGTAGTTCTGAATTTTCCGCATCAGTAGGTGAGGCCACGGTGGAGCAGATTGTGCGCAAGTGCTGCGTTCATGTGGGACTCATGTCCTGGTTGCACAAGCTGACTGAACAGCTTTGCACTTTCATGCAAAGCTGAAGTGACTCAAATCGAAAATTTTGCATATTTACAATAATATTGTTATCTTTTCTGGTGAATTAAGGCTGAAGAGCCACTGCATTAATTTTCGCGCACGAAACGGTAACTCGCAGACAATGTTACCGCCTTTTTCTTTTTTTCTTTTTTTTTTTTTTTCAACAATACATATTTGCAGGTTTGCGCTGACGAGGCCTCAAAACCGAATCTTGCTTGTCGTGACTGCGGCCACTACTACCCAACCCCGTTGTCACAGCACTTCTGCAAAAAGTTACTTTAAAATTACCATCAAACGCACAAAAACGACACGGATACAATTATCTTGTACAATATCACCTTATTTAGTAATAACTTGTCATTATGCATTGAAAAAAAGCCTAATGTTTTTTGCACGAATAAAATGATATATGAACTTTTAAGTCCGGCAACAATATCAAAGCTGTTTTTTTTTTCTTTTATATTTCTTTATTGCTACTTTGGAAAGGGTAGTGTAGTTCCCACAGTGCTGTCAAATTTACTTACGCGAAAAAGCAAGCGAACCTTTGATATACGGGTAGAGCGGGAGAAGCGGGTTTAGCTCGAGGCGCAGGTCGGAGATTTGATTAAGAGGGCCGAAGCGGACGTGGAGAAGATGACCAGGGAATGGGAAAGTAAAGCACCAAACACATGTACGACGAAACCTTCCGATCCGACATGCGGACTGCCGGAATGACCTTGGGGGGTGAGAGTTTTCGTAGCATCGGAGAGCGTTGAAAACCCTCGACTCCGACCGTCGTATTGCCTGGTCGGACGTCGGATCGGACGGTTTCGTCGTACATGTGTAGGGAAACGAAAGTCCAGCGCTCATTTTCTAGCTTGAATGTGTTGCATGTTGCACCCTAACGTCAAAGACACCAGCCGTCCGTTGAAAGGCGCAAGAAAACTAATTTTAAAGCTAAATAAACGATCTTTCAATGTGCACCTGGTGGATGCCTGCGGAGCCTATTTGGGAGGTAATCTAGCAACGTTGGGGAACTTGCCACGTAGTCGTGACGTAGCAGATTCCTTCGGAGCAGCGCCGCTCTTTGGCATTTCAACATTTTACTTCTTAACTTTCCTCCTCAACTCACAAATCGCGCATTGTACCAAACGGTCTAAGACAGAAAGGAAGGACTCCCCTCTTTCTCAGACCTTCGTTCGTGCAACCGGACACAGCCACTCCCCCCCCAAGAACATTAGCCCGTTACTCAACTCGAACAAAAGTTGCTTTCCCCACCCCGTTCAGCCCTAAGCTGACAGTGTTGTGGAAGCTACGTGCTCCTTGGGCCAGCCACACGATCGTCACCCCACGGGTACTTCGAAGGGCTCGGTTGTAACGCGCTGACGCTATTGACACCACCACAACGCTGACAACGCCATCAAGGGCAAAGCTCATAACTACGCCAGCCTTGGTACGTCACGAATGCGGGGAATCTTTTCTTTCTGTTTTTGTTTGCGCCGGATATCCCATGACGCATCACGCTCTCCGCTCGCTTCTCTTCGAGCGCTTGCTCGAGTGCACCGTTTGGAACGAAAAATATAGCCAGTAGTTCAAAATACAAACGTGCGATTATCATTTACAGTTATTATCCGTCATGCTTGACTCATTTCCGAACGAAAATATGAGGCGAGAACGGGAACAGCGAGCCGAACTTGAGCGACAGGAGGAGGAGTTTAGACTGGGGGAAGAGTGGAAGGCGGAGTTGGAGGATCATAAGAAGAAGTGTGAGGAGATGGTGCAACAACTTATAAGAGCAGTTAACAAGAAAAAGGAGGAGGTGGCAGAGAAGACGGGATGGCGGTGGCACACAAAGGGGGCCAATGAAATATTGACGAGGTAGTTGACTGTGTTGGAAAAAAGTATGCACAGCTGTATAGTGCTGCAGTACAGCAGGGCTGTACTGCAGCACTGTACTGCAGTGTACTGTACTGTTGCAGCACTGTACTGCAACAGGGAGCCCTGCTGCAGTACAGCAGGGCTCCCTGTTTTTCTTTCTAATTGGCTTTAAGGACTAAAGAGACGTTTGGTCAATTAAGGCCCTCATTTTTTATATTATATTGGATCAAACCTGTTATACCGTCAGGTGGTGCAGGTAGAGAGGAACAGTTTATTTCCTTTTTTTTTTATCTCTCACTTAGAAATTGAGTAATTGAGTACAGCAGGGCTCGAGAAAGGCAGCAGAAGTTGAGGCAGAGAAAGCACAGATAGCTGGAGGGGGGGAAGACAGGCAGTCGGGGGTTAAGAGGGTGCGCTGGTGGTAGGAGACTCAAACATAACAAGGGTTAAGGAGGGGCTGCTGGACAGGGTGAAAGGGGATGGAAGGGTAAACGTAGTGGCTCAGCCAGGAAAGTGCATGGTAGACGCTATGGCCAAAGCGAGGGAGGAAGTGTGGAAAAACAGGAAGGGAGAGAACCTAGTGCTAGTATACGCAGG